GTAGTCTTTTTCTAATTGTGTTTATCTTTTCTACTCCATTCGTTCATTTTTACTGATCCATTTTGAACTTTTCATGTTTTAAAAATAATATTAATTAATACGAATATTTTAGATCTTAAAAACTAATTTAAAATTAAGTAGTTAATATTACTGGTAAAATAGAAAAAAATTATATTAAGTATATTTTTTTATATATTAAAAGTGAAAAATAAAAATTAATGAAGTAAATATTTGCTTCGTTCGTATGATTTTATGAGCGAGTTCACAATATAATGTCGTAACACATTACAAGAATACATATATCATAAAAAGTGTAAAACCAAAATGATAAAAAGTGTTACTTATTGATTTATTGTTATTTGGTTGTTGGATTAGCGCTTTTTTTTTTTAATAATTGGAATATTGATTCGGTTTTGGTTTTTAAAATTGGGTTATGGAATAAATTAATAACTCATTAAGACTATAATAATTTGCTACTACATAAATATTAAATATTCACAATACCTCATTAGTTATTGGCCACAAGCATAAATAGTTTTAGGATAAAGTTGGGTAATGTTTATTCCTTTCAATTTTTAAATCGATAAGATATTTTTTATTGGTTTTTGATTTATCTGTTTTGATCCTTAACAATTTGATTTTTTATTTAACCAATAAGAAAATGCTTATAAAATAAATATATGACTTGTCCAATAATTTGACGCAACACTACAATAATGTAGCTTTACAAATACTCATAAAATAGAAACAATAATAACAAAACTCTCTCTATATATATATATATATAAATGTAACACAGAGAGAAATAATTAAGAGGAACATGATTCTTACTTTAGACTTTGACAGTTTGTACAACGTGAAGTTGTGAACTTGAAGCGAAAGTTGAAGGCTAAACTGCATTTTTGAAGGCTAACATCAAATATTACCCATATTTTGTATTCAGCATGAAAAAAAATATTTTTAGTGAAATTATACTAGGAATGTTACATTGATGTTGCCAAAACTGACTATATTTTAAATAATTTGTAAATATTGACACATTTTAAATTAGGATGCTGAAAGTGGATAACATAATTCATAGGTGCAACAAACCGGGCCTGCATACAAACTATAAAGACCAACAAACAATTGCAACTTACGGCCCAAACGTGGGTTCACTACCATAAGATCAAGGAAAACTTACGTAAATATATCGTTCCATCATTTAGTTTATCAATATGATCGGAATATATATTATGGAAAATTACCTAAATAAACATCATATTTTATTATAATTTTCTAAAATTTCTACTATTTAAAAAATTTTCAAAAATATACATCACTCCCCTCTCGTTAACATATCCCTATCTCTCTCGGATACATCTCTCCCGATACATTCCTCCCCTCTTTGATACATCCCTCTACTTTCAAATACCCTTATGTGTCCGCATGTTTTATCCCCTTTTTGATACATCCATATCCCCTATCGGATATGTGTCTCCCCTATGTATTTAGATGTATCCAAAATCCATAAAAAGAGTAGGGAAAATGTAATTAGTTTTTAATACTATGAGATTTATGTAAATTATACATATTATGGATACATTTTAATTGTATATATAATGTAAAGGTATGTATATACTAGTATATTTATATTTATATTTATGGAATGTAGCTACAATTTACGTATTTACAAAAGCTACTATTATTATATTACTTCCGTTATTTTGTAGGCCATCTATGATTTTAATCGCCACAAAAAGTATGATTTATTTAATTTTAGTAGGACATTAAAGTTTTCCCTTTCTTTTACTTATTTACCTTAATTAATTTCTCAATTGTTCCACTATTAGACTAATTACAAGTTATTTTCTAAATTTGAAATATACCGTCAACTTAAATTTGAAACTTTCATGATCAAACTGCGTTTCAAATAAAGCGAAAGATTATTAAAAAAAATGATCCTAAATAATTATTTTTGTTTTGCTTCATTTCCCTAATTATTATTTTTTAAATTCTAACTGTTCCACTATAAGAATAATTAAACTGACATAATCCTAATCTTCAACATGTGGAGGGGAGGGAGGAAAAAAATATATGGACCTTTTAATTAGAAGCATCACAGACAAGAACAAAAAGGACAACAAGTGTTCTTTTCTCTTTTTCAATAAAACCAACTAAAAATTTTATTAATTATTTATTGAATTTTGAAAAAAAAAAAAAACTATACAAATAATAACCACGTAAAATCCAACACGTAGCAAGTGCTCAAGAGTCTACAAATAGTGATATGGACCTTCACTATAATATTCCATTTTCATTTTTTATATGATGTCCAATACTCGTATTGAAATTCGATTAAATAAATTTATGTTGCACAATTACATTACATTTTGAGATGTTAAATGTTTCATAACAAAGACGATTTCATATCTAGTGCTGTGATATGGGTTTTCACTATAATAATTCCTTTTCATTTTTTTTAAATTCCTCACACAATGTTCCACTAAATTCGAATTCAACTAATATTCAAATTTGCGTCCAAAAATCACATATTTTAAAATTAACTACTTCCTGACAAATATAATTTCATATTTAATGCTCAAACCTAAAACCACTAATCAATAACAAAAGTAATACTTATCATTTTATCGTAACCCTTATTAATATTTTCATTCCTCCACACATAGAGACATAAAATCTATGTGGTATATGATGTTTGTATCAACTACTCCTAAATATTTTGACCATTTCTAAGATGATTACTATTATTTTTATATATTTATTATAATGATGGTATTTTGACCAGCCATTTGGCATTTATACTTCAATTATTTATTAAATACCGATTATTATATTAATGGAAGTCTCATAGTAATAATAAATAAAAAAATTATCTTTGCACAACTCATAAAATATGTGTCTTGAACGTTGAAATTAATCATTAATATTTGCATCATGATAGACTATCAATATATATTTCTCTGGGGTGTAGTTTTCTTTCCGAGCCTTGCATTTCATCAGGTATTTCATACGTTGGGCTACTTTTATTTTCATAGCTAACTATACAAAGTCATGATAACTTTGCCAAATATCTTTTTTTTCTAAAAAAAAAAAAGACGAAAGAATCACCCAACTAAAAAAAAGAGTGTCCACATGAAATATGCTTCAATATGGTCAAGGGATTATTTGGGGTTAGCCATTATTGTCAATTATCTAGATATATATATTGTGCTTTAAATAGGGTATAAGGTTGATCCTATCCATTAGAGGTAAATCTAGAGTATAATATATGGATTTACTAAAATTTGATAATCTTATTCAAATCTTATATGCTTACGAAATATTTATAAATATATAATCATGAACCAACCTATTGGCCATATTATTGTTATTGTTGCTCCCAATCTCCCGGTAAGGACAACATTAACACAACTACGCAAGGCGATGCACTAAAGCCTAAAAGGAGGCTGACCTAATGTGCATTGGAGAAAAAAAAAAGTTGATGCTCATCTTTAATATAGGTCTTGAATTCAAGTTCAACAACATACATCACATCAGATGAAAAAACAAAAACAAAGCATGGATTGCAATGACCAAATGTGCATTGGTGGTGACTTTTCTGTTGTCACAACAACTTTTGACAGAATGAAAGATACTAATGGAAGTGGAAAACCACTCTGGCAAATTACAGCTCTTTCAATTTTAAAACAGCAAAAGACAAATTTTCTTTTTAACTTGCAAATCCCACACATACATGAAAAAAAGCCTTTTAGGCCAAACAACCAATTATACATATTCCAACCTTTCATGAAATGCCTCATTCCTCCCTAACTTTGCTTTTGTGTGGGAGAACAGTGGCTGAGTTAAATATTTTAATAAGAGAGTTCAAAATTTAAAAAAATAGATACACAAAATAGTCGAAGGGGGTTCGACATCTACTATATATACCTAAAAAATTATTTTAGCCATATATAAATGATATAATTTTTCGCCGAAGGAGGTTTGGAGAAGCCCTAACTCTAAAGTGGCTCCACCACTAAGAGCATGAAAGTTTGTCCTCTTTGTAAAGAAATCAACATATCTTTCTTTCTAGTCTAACGGTCAATGAAATAGGATAAAAATCAGAATAAAAAATCTCGATAGAACCCAAAAAAACACAGTCGTTCCTCTCTCTTGTTAGTGGACAAACTTAGCTAATACATGTACTACTAGCAAAAGGTATCAAGCGAAAGAATCGAGGTGCGTACAAGGCGAATAATGTTATAAAACAAAACAACCTACTTCCTTTGTTTCGATCTATTTGTTGTACCTTCCTTTTTAGTCTGTTTCAAAAATAGTTCCTCTCTTATTTCGACAACTCTTTAATTCTAACTTTTCACCTGATACGTTTCAGACTACAAGATTAAAAATCATTTTGATATATTCTTCATATTTTCAGTTTAAGACCACAATATTCAAAAGTCTTACGTATTTATTTTCTCAAACGCCTTGCCAAATCGAAACCAAACAAACAAATTGAAAAGCAGGGAGTATTTGGTTTGGACCACCCTTTCTGCATTGCAAACCAGAACTTTCTTTTAAAGAATGAGTTCATGCATACTAGCATATTAAATGTAAAATTACTATCAAAATTCAAAATACAATGACAAGAAATAGTACAAGAAAGGAAAGGGCAAATTTATTTCATTATTTCATATTCTATGCCTCCCTACTACAAAAAAAGAAGAAGTGATTTTCTTTAAATTCCATAACTATGACTATGTCCATAAATGAATCCAACAAAAAAGAAACAAACCTTATCTGAGAAATTTCACATTTTTTTGAGCAGATGAACCTGCATCCCTATACCCCTCCAAACAATTTGGCATCAATATCTTACTTGCTTACCTCCTTTTCTTGATTCCAATTTCTAATATTCGATTTCCGACTTCACTGACTCTAGATTCTGAACCAGTATAGCGCAATTTGTTTCCAAAGGCACTAAACTCTCTGCAGACAATTTACATACAAGGAATGATAGACCATCCAAAGAAGTTGATTGAGCTATGTGCAACAACTCTGTAACCAAATTTTGAACTGCAATATTCTACAAAATAGCACTGCCAATATTCCCCTGATCAAGCTTGTGTCGAATGTTCCCGGATAGACTCTGCTCACATATTAAAAAACGAATCGATCAATAACAAATCAATTCCAAACTAGTTGGTGTCAGCAAGAAAAGTAATACTAAGAATCACTTATAGCACATTATGCAGAATGCTGATAGCAACAAAGAATAAGGTATTTATAAATTCTTGAAACATTCTGCCTGTAACAATCTAGATATGAAAATTTTCAGTCAAACGGACAGAAATACAAAATACCATTTCAAGAAATCAAAAGAACGAATATATTTGATTACTATCAAGGACTAAAGTTCAGATCTTGTAACCAATCGAATACTCAATAAATTTGTCTCCATTAGTCATAGAACTTTGAGAATCAAATAACCAATCAAGAAACTCCTAATAAGGACTACTACACTAGCACGAATCCAGACTAGTCGGGCTTGATGTATACAAATATTGATTCATTCACACAACAATTCTCTTCTCTTATCGCTGAATTAGAGATTTCCCATTATGGAATGAATAATAAACAAACAAACAAACAAACAAAAATGTTGATGCATAAGTCTCTATATTTCACTCAAATAGCACAAAACTTGTCCTTCCCTATTAGTTATAGAATCTTGAGAATCAAATAGTCAACTCCTAATAAGGACTATGCAGACACGAATCCAAATTAGTCGGGCTTAATGTATACACATAATAAACAAAATTAAACAAAGCAATCATGAAAAAAAAAAAAGACCTTAGAGTCCTGTTTGGCATCTTCAAGATCTGTAACCTGAACAGCAGTACATTCCTTTGGATTATCAAATGAAGACAATGAAAACTGCTTAGAAACAACTCCAACATCAAAATAAATTACCCCAGAACTTGAAGATGACACATAGATTTTCTTAACTTGAAACCACAAAAACAAATCTTTAGCAGAAATCCCAGAAATCAAATCAATTTGACCAAAACTCAAACTCCCTGAAACATTCCTTTCATAGTGCAATTCATTTTCTTTTTTCTCAAATTTTGAATTACAAGGTTGATCTAAATGAACCACAAAATTCCCAGAATTATCTAAAGTGAAATTCCTCACACCCTTTGGTAGTAATCCCATTGGCAATCCATGGGATTTAAGAACTTCATAAATAGATGAATCTGCTGATGTAAATACCCATATAGAACACAAAACAAGTGTAAATATCACAAAGGAATTTCCAAGAACCACCATTTTGGTATATTATAACCAAAAAAAATGTCTTCTTTTTGTTAGAGCATAGAAAGAGTGAAAAAAAGATTTGGTGTTTTGAGAAATTTATGAATTTGGGATTTTCAAAAAGTAGGATTTTTTTTTTGTTGATATGATGGTGGAGGAGAATAAGAACATGAAGAACAAGAAGAAGCTTAGAGGCAAGTGTTGCCAGCAGGAGTACAGAGGGGATTAAGAGGAATTATCAATTATTGGTGGTCATTGTGGATCCCACAAAAGGTATTTTCCCATGTGGTGAAGTGCATTGGTGCTACAAATACAATCATAAGGTAAAAACATATATATTTTGTGTTTACGTCATATCAATAAATGAGTGAAGATATATAGGTATTCAAATATATTGTTGGTTGAAGTATGCAACTATCTCATCTAAAAGTTTAACGTGTTAGAGGAAGCACACTTTTATTATATACTCATGTGTGGGCCTAATTCTTTTTTCATGTGCCAATCATATGAAAATAAATAAATTATATGTGTAGTAGTGAGATTTGATCCTCAGGACTTTTGTCTGTTCTGATATCATATTAAAGTGTGTGACTAAAGATGATCACACACTTCAACACGGTCTAAAGTTAGTTTTGATATATTTAACTTCAAATATAGTATCAAAAGTTTAGATATATATATGATGAGTTTTCATTTTTATTTGAATTTCAATTATTTTATCACGTTTCATCCTATTTTATTTGAATTTCAATCTATACGGTTGAATAATAAGTTATTTTTGTCTATTTTTATTTGATAATCAATTATTTTTACTTGAATTTCAATCATATGTTCATGAACAACACATAGAAATGACTGAAGTTATACAAAAATAACTAAAATTCAACCATTTTAATTGAATTTCATGCAACACGATCTAAACCAAGCGCAAGCTCAAGTGTATATAAAGAACTTTGATTAATCACAAATTCTTGTTAAACTAGTTGCTAAATTGATTTGATAGAGAAAAAAAGTAGGTATTATATATTTTCCTTTGTGGGTTTTTTAGAAAAAACATTACCACATATTTCTCTAATCCTTTGAATATTAGTATACATCAACTCTTATATATGATCATCAAAATAAGTAAGAGAGAAAATCAAATTCAATTCTTTATTTTCTCAAGAAGTATTTGTTTGCAAGTAAAATCACAATTTTGTTATAATTAAGTAGCATATATTTTTTACTTTAGTAAATTATTTAATCCTAATAAATTAATATAATTTAATGTAAATATTATATATAAATAATATTGTCATATGAACAAGTTATAATATATTTTGAGTAATAGAGGCAAGTATTGCCAGCAAGAGTACAGAAAGGTTTAGGAAAGTTTATCAATTATTGGTGGACAAATGTAGGTCCCATTCAAATGAAGGAATCCCATGTGGCGAAAGTGCAAGGGGCCTAGTAGTACAATCAGCAAGAGTGTCTTACTCATAATATGGATGAGTAAGAATCATAACTCTTATCATCGTGACCTGTTGTTTAGAGTTCATATTAAAGCTTTGACTAAATTTAATTTGCGCAATGTATGATCATTTGGGGTGACATTCTCGATAAAATTTTCTTCATACCCAAGACTCAAATCAGAGACATCTGGTAATTGACAGTGAAGAAGCACTATGTTTAATACTCATAATATGGATGAGTAAGAATCACAACTCTTATGATCATGACCTGGTGTCCAGAGCTCGTATTGGGGTTTTGACTAAATTCAAATCGTGCATTGCAAGATCATTCAGGGTCGAATGATCACGCTTTCGATAAGATTTTCTCCATACCCAAAACTTGAACTCAAGACATCTGGTTAAGGGTTAAGAAACATTATGTTTAAAAATATATATCAAATTTTGATATATAAAGTCTTTAACTCAGGGCATAATTTCATATTATTATTTTTTTACTATCTCAAACTATCGACTATTCTACAAGGTGTCATTGTTTGTTTTCAATCGAGATGGGGATCTGACAACTTATATGCATAGTTCATTTAATTTACCATTTTATTTTCCTAATTAATTTTCAATTTTTTTTATACGTGAAATCCTAATAATTAAATTAATAACGATTAATTATTGATAAATAATATTAGATAAACTTTAAAATCAAACCACTCGATATGGAACGTTAGCTTAGGGTACCCGATAAGAGATGGAAGGTGATATATATGCATGAAAATTGAGCGATAAGTACGAGCGGAGAACGAAAACCGAAAATGACATCAACGGCGCGTGGACCACTACATTGTGGAAGCTGCGGTTAGATAAGAACAACGAGCAAAATATTATTTTTTTAGATATACCACGTATTTATATTAAAATATTAAATAAATAAATTAAAAATTATAGAAATAATTTAAAAAATATATTTACCACGTATTTATATCTGAATATAAGATCTGCATTTTGTGGCATGGAGCCTTGTTCATCTTTGAACAATCATAATTATCATTTAGTTATAAAAATTTAAATTGATTTGATATAAATATCGATACAATAAGTATTTACCGAAAATATTTTGAGTTACATTGAATCACAATTATATATATAAAAAAAAGTGAAATATGTTCATGAACCGACTAGATGAGAGTAGAAGGGAAAAAATATTATTATTTTATTAATATAGAGAAAGATAATCTGGATGATTTTGTATAGTAATTGGTGGAAAAAATATGATTTAATAGATGGGAAAAAATTAATATCAAAATAATAATACAAGAATTAGGATAAATATTACTACAATAATAATCTTAAGTAATAAATATATGTGTGTATATATATATATATAATACTTGAGTCGTGCTAGACACTGTCCTAAAAAACTATTTCAGCAGTGTAAAATATTTCCCCAGAATTAAACAAGCCTTCTCTAAATTAATTAGATGACACAGAAATTAACAAAATATAAATACTACAAAACCAGCAAGACTGTTGAAAGAAAGTGTTTGGAAGAAAAACATTTTCTATTTCTCTTTGATAATATGTTCTCCCTTAGTTCATGCTTAATGAAGTCACAAATGATCCTTATATAGAGATAGTTAGGAGGTTAATAAGTGACTTATTTTGTCACCAAGTAAGACAATACTTTGGCACCAAGTAAGACAATATTTTGGCACCAAGTAAGGCAATACTTGGTCACCAAGTTGGATGACAAAGTAGTAGAAATGTCACATGTTAAATATTTTACTTTGGCTCAAACTAACTAAATCTTTTGAAATAATTATAATATTTCTAACAATCCCCCACATATTCCAAAAGATTTTGAAAATAAGATAATGAGTTTTGCTGGTTTTGTATGATCAAAATGTTATAGGTTTGGTGTTTTTCGGACTATGAACCAAACTTAGATCGATAAAATATAACTTACAGAATCATTAGTGAAATATAAAATTTCTATGAACCAATTATACTTTTGGAAGTCAGAGATTCTACCAATCACATTTTAATCCTCATATTTTGTTGTTCAACGCGATTTTGCGCCAATAAGCCATGCGCGTGCTTGGTTATTCATGAGAGCTCTAGAGACTAGGCCAAAGTCTCATAGGAGCGGCCACACTCCACTTCTCATATGGGTGAATTCATCAAGTGTATACTGCTTTAAATACACCATCCATAAGGACTATGAATTCATTAAGAGTAATAACTCATCCCTCATAATTAGTAGCAGTTCAAGCACTCTCTATTAGTGCGCAGTGTCAATATCGACTTGTTATTATGAACCTACTTCATGGGATATCCAATCACATAGGTTGGGTTACCATCTCTATTGACACTCATATTGGTCTTAACCCCATCTCTTTCGAGGATTGAAGAATTAACTTTCTTCCCACGGGTTTAGTCAGTGAATCGGTCGAATTCAATTCTAACTTCACATAATCAATTACAATTATTCCATCATTCAATTTTATAAGAAATAAAGGCATTTAAAAGCATCATCTTTATTTCTAAGTAAATATAGCTTAGTAAATCTAGAAAAATCATCAATAAAAGTTACATAATATCTTTTACCACGTCTAGTCATTGTTTGTTTTAAATCACCTAAATCAGTGTGAATTAGAGACAATAATTCAGTTTCTCTACTTACAGAAAAACATGACTTCTTAGTAGTTTTAGCTTCAACACATATTTCACATTTATTAATATTATTTGAATCTAAGTCAGATATCAAACCAAGTAATTGCATATTTTTTATATAAGAGAAATTGATATGTCCTAATCTAGCATGCCATGAAGAAATAGATTATATCATGTAAGCAGAAGTAGATGCTTTTTCATTCACAACATTACAAACATTAAGTACGAAAAGTTCCTGGTTACAATAATATTTTCTCACAAACACATTATTTTTTGTTAGTATTATCTTTTCGAATTCAAATGACACTTTCACTTTAGCTTTATTAAGCAAGGCTACGGAAATCAGGTTTGCACTCATTGTAGGAACATGTAGCACATTCATAAGGGTTAAAGTTTTTTCCGAAGTAAGTTTCAGGAGCACTTTACCCTTACCCAAGACTTTAGTAGTTCTTGAGTCTCCAAGGTAGACTACTTCACTGTCATCCCCTATTGATGTATAGGAGGCAAATGCTTCTCGATTCGCACAAATGTGCCGAGTAGCCCCAGAGTCTACCACCCATTCTTTTATATGTGCTACAATGTTTACTTGAGAAATGACAGCTGCAATAATTTCATCTCCTTCAGCTAAATTAGCTTTGGGAGGATAACACTTTTCTTTGTCATTTTTTATTCTCCTCCTACATTGTGCGGCATGATGACCTGATTTTCCACAAGTAAAACAAGTGCCTTTCTTTTGCTTAAAATTGGGATTATAAGGCTTTAACCATCAGACTTATTAACATACCTTTTGTTGTTACTCCTTCAGTCTTGTACTAAGTTTGCTTGCCGTGTTGATTCCTCTTCTTTGAATAACTCTTTTTTGTAGTTTGCTCTACCATAAACTTCTGACAGAGTGATTCGAAAAGTAATAGGTTTTGTAGCACCATCATAAATATTATCAGTAGTATTAAGACATATATTATTTGCCATAGTTTCTTAGATTGTTGGAAAAAATATGATATAATAGATGGGGGAAATATAATATCAAAATAATAATACAAGAATTAGGATAAATACTACTACAATAATATTCTTAAGTAATATATATA